CACAGTCATCTTTTTCTACCTAAAATCCCTCTTGTATAACTTCCATTTATACAGGACATCACAGGCCCCATTGGCCTATCACATGAACCTTCTTTGCCTCAGTGGGCATATAATTCTTTTCATTTCAGTTCCTCCTCTTTAAACTTAACAAGAATATCACAAACTTTAAAGAAGCTAATGTTGGTAAAACATGAAGTATCATGTTGGGCACATAATAAATGACCAATAAACCAACAGTTGTCTACATGTACCACACCCCCCACGATGACCTTCTCTTCCCAGCATGGACAAACAAATAAAGGTGATGGTGAAGCCTCTGAAGGAAAGCACTAACTCAAAAGAATTTAAGAATTTTAAATAGGGATTTTAAATCTTTCATCATCAGCCACTGCCTCTGAATTCTGCTTCTCCTTCTGCATCACCCAGCCTGTCTTGTTGATCTACACTAAGTGCCCCATGCCTTTGAGCTAGACTCAAGTTGTGCTGTGGGCAGCAATCCTGCCCTCTGGTTTTGTAGTCCTGTGACTATGTATTTATACAGAGAAAACTCAATTAAAGGCACAGATTTGGTCAAAAGTGGGCTTTGAGCTTTCTCTCTAAGGGGATCTTTCTAATATAAAGCCATGTGTAAGCCCAGGAGTTTGGGGGCCTAAATACACCATCAGCCTTAATAGCCCATGGTCAGAATGACCATGAAATACAAAATATTGATAATTCTACAGCTACTTGCACATGTGCCTCCATTGGTTTTTCATACCCACTGGACTTGTGAGCCCAGAATGAGTTCTGACTACACATTCTTCCCTCCATAAAGAATTTTCACATCCAACAAGCTTGCTCTGCAGCATTTGAAGGCCACCAAAGGTAGTTAGTGCCATTTATCATATGACCTCCCCCAGCCTCTCCCTGGACTGGGAAGCTTTTGCCTTAGTTACCCACCTATGCCACCCAGCACAGTTTTAATATTTTCAGCAATAAGCCTTAAGTGCTACTAATCTAAGGGTGTTAACTCACCCACACAGCTGCCCTAAGGATTGGGAAGTTAAGCTAAGAGCACATCGGGATTTACAATAAGAAAAGCTGGGGTCTACCTCGACTGATACAGAACACAAACAAGAACATGTGCCGATCAAAACATTGCAAGGTTTACTCAGTGCCAAGCACTGTGCTAAGTACTTTACATGCATCATACCGTATAATCCCACAGCAACCCCAGTCAAGGTATCCCATTCTACACATAATGATAAAAAGAAGCAGAGGACACAACCAAATTCATATTCTTTGTGGCGACACTAGATGGCACATACTTTGGGGTCCCACAGAAAAGATTTTTTTTTTAAGATTTACATATGCATACAAGAACTGGGGTACAGGCCAGAGGTGTGGGGGGGGGTGAGAGGATTCACCAAAGACAAAGTGAGGAACACAACAGGAGGATAGACTGAAATACACACCTGAGGGGAGCAGCAGGTGAGTAAGGAGAGGTCTGCTGCGCCATGTGGGTCAACTCCCTGGCCAGGGATCATCAAACTCATGCTGCAGTGGCTGCCGATTGCTTCATAGTGCTGCGTCTTAGCCCCTTGCACCACCAGGGAGGCCCCACCCACAGATAAGAGTTAAATCCAGCTCCTCAACTCCCAAGTGACTGTGGGTAAAATATGCAACTTCACCAGCCTGAGACTGTTTTGTAATAGGACTCACCATATTTTAACTCCCTGGAACCACCATACTTTTTCACCTTCCTGAGTCACAGAACTCCTCTCTATACATCCTCTCTGCCTCAGTCACCCACAGGGCCCCCATAGCTTCACAAAGTCAGAATCTCGAATCCTGAGATGAGCAACTTAAATTCCCGTCCCACTGAGCTTAGGTAGCAAGTCATTTCAGCTTTCAGTTTTATTGTTTATCAACTGAGAATATCAACACTGACTCTAAACAATTAACAAATCTCTTTAAAAGTTTTATGAAATTTAGGATACTATTACAGTGAATTCAGTTTGAGACACTGCTGAGCAAAATAGTTGCTCCTGTCCAAAACCTCCAAAAGAATGTAGAAACTGAGTCCAAAATACAGAAATTGACCCTACAGTATCACTATCATGATATAGGTAGTCATGAGCTAGAGACTAAGGGCTCAGTGTCCTGATTCTAAACCAGACACTGCTTTGGACAAATCACTGGATTTCACTACAAACTAAAGATATAATACTTCCTTCCCTGGGTCCAATGGGCAGGGTTTGGGCAGGGTATAAAAACACTCAGAAAACTTAAGACAAGTAACCCTCCAGGAAGGCAATTATATGCATTTTTTTTTTAATGTGATGTCAGACCTTTTCTCTCCCACTCACTTTCCGTTGTCACAATCTAAATTTTCTCCAGATGTGAACATGAAGAGGCCTGTCTTTGTTCCTTCTCTGTCTCTTTGTATACACACTGGTTTTCCTTTGTGCCATGAAAGGTTTCAGTGCTTTTCTTCCAGACACAGGTCATGAAGAGGGAACAGGGCCAGGGAGGGAGTGCAGTGATAGGAAAGGGAGTCAGAGAAAAGAGTTATAGAATGCTCCAGAATGTGCGCCTCCTCTCTTCAATGGAAACAGAGCCAAGGCAATGAAAGGCTCCCTGACTCCAGACAAATGTCCTCAGTTATGCAAAGTCTTCCACACAGCACACTTGTAGAGCCCAGACTGCAAGTGGCACACACCACCCACAAATATACACATCACACACACACACACCACACACACACACCACACACACACACACCCATACACACATACACACATACCCACCATCCATACATATACACATACCACACACACAACACAAAACACATCCACACACACCCATACACACACATCATACACAAACACACTCTCATCATCCATGCATATACATACACCACACAAACCACATATACACACCCATACACACACATATCATACACACCCTCTCCATCCATGCATATACACACACCATACACACCACACACACATCATACACACACCCTCACCATCCATGCATATACACACACCACACACACCACACATACATACATACACTACACCCACACATACCCATACATACACACCATACACACACCCTCACCATCCATACATATACACATACCACACACATACACACCCCCCACCCACACACATACCCATACACACACACATCATACACACACACCCTCACCATCCATGCATATACACGCATCACACACACCACACACACATATACACACACCACACCCACACACACCACACACATACACATATACCACACACACTCACCACCCACACATTTACACACAACTCCCCACCCATACATATACACACATCACACACCACACATGCATACACACATACTACACACATAAACACACCACACACACACAGACACACACACTTTCATGAAGAAGTATGCTCTCCCACCTAGAAAGGATTTGTTGTTTCAATTAAACTCATCAAGATCTATGCCACATGTTAGGGAAGAAAGAAAAAACCAAAACACAACTGAATCACTTCGGCTATCTCCTTGGGGATCAATGTATATCAAATAAACCACCATCTCGGCATCGGGAGAAGCTTTTACTTATGAAAAACAGAGGCAGGTGCAGAATTTCAGCGATTGGTACTAAATCAAAGCCCAGGGAGCAGAAGGAAGGAAGTGGATTTAGATGCATCCACTTAGCTCCACTACTTATGTCTAAATCACAGGCCGGAGAGCAGATCACAGCCCTGGTGGGGCTGGCCTCTTCTTCATCATCTCCCCCGAGGGTCCTTCCCACGCGGCTCGGGGGTTCAGCTGCCCAGTAAGAACAGATGGACAGTTTAGAGAGCAAGATCAGCTCATCACATCCTGCCCCACCTCTATCAGCCTTTTCTGGACATAAAGACGGAAAATGAAGAGCAGGGATGCTCCTGCATTTGATTCCATATAAAACGATGGTTTTTCATTTACATTCCCTGAATAGCTGGCCAGTCTGATTTACACATTGATACTATGTGACGCTTTGTATTCCAGCAAATATTTAATCCCTGACTGATCAATAATCCTCGCCTGGCTGTTCTTTTTTGAAAAGAAATAAATCCCCTTTTACTCTTAAAATTCTTGAATAAAATTAAACTGCTTTAGCCCAGGATACACTGTTCCTGCATGAAACCATGTGGTTTCAGAGCCTCGGTCCTCAGATGTTTTAAAGGGGCCGCCTCTGCCAACTTGCTTTATCAGAGACCTTAACATTGCTCCACTCTGAGTTTTCTGTGTCATTGACTGATAATGTAAGATAGCCCCTTAAAGTCTGAGCTATCTTTTTTTTAAAATTCAGAAGTAAAATTATTAACCTAGAGAGAATTAGTGAGACTAAATCAGACAGTATTTTTGCACTAATTGCTTATATTCACCAAGGTCTTGCTTTAATTTCTGCATCATAAGCCTTGATTCTGTCTTTCTATATGCTGTTTCCCTCCAAAACTACATTTAAGAAAAACTCCACTCCTACACAGATTCTAAAAAAAAAAAAAATCAGTCTCCCTTTCTTAGGGTTGAAGACTGTGAAAAATGAACATTAAACAGAGAAAGAGATGGCTCGCTCCCTAGCAGGGGCTCACAATACAGCCTCAAGCCCACCAAAAGTTCCAAAAACAACAGCAACAAAAAACAAACTCTCTTTCATCTTTGGCAGCAACAAAAGCAATAACTTTCACCAAACCAACCCACGCCAAGAATTAATATAACACAGAACACATCCACATTCAGACCATTATGGCTACATCAGCTTGCCACAATATTTATTTGAAAAACACATAATTTGTGGTAGAGAGAGAAAACCTCTAATAAAAAAAAGAGGTTCTTTCAAATGCAAATTAACCAAAAGACATATTTCCCCTGTGTTTGGAAAATCACTCCAACATATGAAAAACATACTTTTGTGTGGAAAAAAAAAAAAGGTGTACACCCACTTAGTTGAAAAGGCAATTATATTTGCTGCAGATTACCTTAACAGTTGAGAAAAGTTAACTCCTGGCTCCATAAGTCCTTTAGGACTTTATTAGCATTCACTGACCTAAGTAGTCTTCAGTTCCCAGGTAGCAAAGTTTCTTTTCTTCTCCACTGAAATGCTCATGTGGACCCTGAAGGACATTATATTACTGAACTGATTAGAAAAGAATAGTATTTCCAATCTTCTGGTAGAAAGAGGGTAAAGAAAGGAAGAGAGAGAGAAAGAAAACAGAAAGAGAAATAAAAAAGGAAAGAAAGAAAAAGAAAGATGAGGGGGCTAAAGAAAGAAAGAAATAGAGAAAGGAGAGAAAGAAAGCAGGGCAAAATGCAGTCTAATCGAGCATTCTTCCTGGTGGAAAAAAAAAAGTAAATCCAGTATTCTGGAACGAGTTCAAACATAGCTTGACAGGCTACAGGAGAATTTACACTGAGCATGCTTAGCCTCGCACGGCTTGCATGAGACACTCTTAATGAATATTACTTCCTTCCCACTGGCTATTCCTGCTGGAAGTCCACACCCACTCCTCTTTCAGAAGTCAGGAATTTAGCTTCAGCCAAAGTCCAGAAAACATGCTTATGCAGACACCAGGCCCCACCGATCCATAAACTCTCAGGTTGTGACCTGCAGGTCAGTTTAACAAATAGAACATGGGGGCGAATTTTTTTCTGCCCTTGGTTATGTTCCTAGCTTTGTGCCTGTCCGAATTTGCAGTGCCTCTGGAGAAGAGAAAAGGAGACAGCTTTCTTTCTAAAGAACACGAAGTCCAACCTGCCAGTTTAAAGACCTTTCCCGATCAAGCTTGAGAAACCCAGATAAGAAAGGGAGATCTGCATATGAAAGCAGCATGAGGAAGTTTAGCCTCTGAATCAAATCCAATCAAATTCCGACCCCCAAATGTACCCTTTTCAGTAACTGACGCCTCGTCCCTGTCTAAACGCCACATGCCAGTGCACAATGTGAAAATAGTTTCCAAATTCAGATTTAATCTGCCATGCTGTCTAAGTCACAGTCAAAAAATGGTTTTATTTTTTCAAACAATGACTCCCTTCCCCTAAATCCCTCTGTCATGTTTAATGACGGAGACCTGAAAATCTGGAAATATAAAAATAGACCACTTCTCTGACAGAGAAGACAGAATTCTTACCCTGCAAAGAAAAAGGGCAAGGGAGGACGTGATGGAGGAGAGGTAATACAGACAGCACAGAAATGGAAGGACATCTCTATTTAAAATAATAATAATAATTTTTGTTGTCCTGACGTTTTCAGGATGCTATTTAAATGTTTCTTTTCTCTATTAAATGAAAGTGTTTATTTGCCTACATGGACACACACACACCAATTTGTTCTTGAAAAGAAATGATGTCACAGAGTATCAAAATGCAATAGAAATTCTCTAAGTGTACAAAGAAAAGAGTGTGCCCAGCCTCTACTTCAAAGCCTAACTAGCATTGATTCCTTGCATGAATATAAGGAAGTTGTATGTATATGTACCTTAGAAGTAAATCCATTGCCTCTCCACACCTGCAACACTTCCAGCAGCCACTGCTGAGCTGCTATGACATGGTCTCCTTATCCAAGGTCCTTGCAGTGAAAATTTCCTTGCCTGCTGTTGAATAAATGAAATTTCCTGACATATTTTCCTTCTTGTAATTAGGAGGGTTAGGAAGAGTTTAGGCATAGGGGTTGTTTTGTTTGTTTTTATGTTTTGCCTGAGAGAAGAATAAAATTTAGCCCCCTGTTCCAAATGTGTTGATTTATACTAGTACAGAGCAAGCTATGCTTTCAACAGTTAGATAAAGCCTAAGAGAAATCTAGTTTCGAAAGGTTGCCATCCTCATGGCCTGGCAGCAGGTAAGTGCAAAATAGGAAGGACATTTAATTATCTGACCCAGAGATTGCCTAGAGATCAGGGAGCCCCACAGCATGGTGGGGAGGGACCCTCAGTCAAGGCTGGTGCTCTGAGCTGCAGACAACCTTGCCTCCTGTCATCAGGGTATGCAAATCATTTCCTTCCATGAGAACAGGCACTCATCCCTGAATCTAAAGGTACTGTTCTCTTATGTTTATTGCAGCACTATTTACAATAGCTAAGATATGGAAACAACCTAAATGCCCCAAAACAGATGATTGGATCAAGAAAATGTGGCATATATACACAATGGAATACTATTCAGTTATCAAAAATGATAAACTCATGCCATTTGTAGCAACATGAATAGAACTGGAAGGGATTATGCTAAGCAAAATAAGGCAGAAGGAAAAAGAAAAATATTGAATGGTTTCACTTACAGGTGGAGCATAGGGAAACCAAATAATGTGTCAGGAAAATTTGCAAGCTGATCATAGACTTGAAAACAGCAAGGGAGGTTTAGAGAGGGGGGTCCAAAGAGGAAAGGGAAGAGCACCAGGGACCAAGGTGATTGTTCACAGGGGCTATGGTAGTGGAAGAACTATGGGGACTACACCTGAGGGGAGAACACTGATGTACGAAAATAAATAAAAAATAAAATAAAAATAAAGGTGTGTTGACTGAAATAGAGTCATTTTTTTTTCTAGTTTGAATTTTAAAATGATCCTATGTGAAGCAATTATGGTCTTTATAGTGACAATACACTCACCCATTGAATTAACAACTCACATTTATCACAGCACTGGAAATTGGATAGGTTCATTTTTCTCTCATTTAGAAGAAAGTCAGAGGTTGACAGCCCAAAACTTAGCTGCCAGGAGCCCAAGTGCTTCTATCTATTGGTCTATTATCTTGAATGCATGGCGTCCACATTATCAGGTTTGCCTTATAGTCCAAGAGGGATGTTGGCACTCCAACCATCACATCTGCATACCAGCAGTCAGAAAAAAGCTGGGGGGAAGCACAGGGGTGCCTGTTGTCTTTGTTTTCTATTGTTGCTACATCAAATTACCTCAAATTTAGTGGCTAAAAGAAAAAAAACACAAAAGTGGTACCTTATAGTTCCACAGGGTAGAAATCTGACATTGATTTCACCACAGTATACTCAAGGTGACAGAAGGGATACATTTCTTTATGGAGACTATTGGGGAAAATCTATTTCCCTACCTTTTCCATCTTCTAGAGCCTCTGCATTCCTTGGCTTTTGCCCCTATTACATTTTCAAAGGCAGCAACAGTAGTTTGACTCCTTCTCACACTTCATCAATCTGAGCTTTTCTTCTACCCTCTTTCACGTTTAGGGCCCTTGTAATTACATGGGAACCACCCCACATTATCCAGGATCCAATTGATTGGCAACTTAATTCCATCTATAACGTTAATCTCTCTATGCCATTTTAAGGTGACATATTCATAGATTTATAGATCTCTGGGGCCAAGTTTAGGCATAGACATCTTTGGGGAACATTCTTCTGCTTTCTACACTTGCCTTCAGCTAATTTAACCCATCTTAATTAATACAGATTCCTCAAAATCCTTATCCAGTGTCTTTCCCTTACAGTCAGTAGCCCATCCTATTCATAAGGAAACCTAATCACAATATTACCTTTGACAATACAGAGGCTTACCCTAAGGAATAAGGGAGAACAGATATTGGATAGGCAACTGGCAATATCTAGCAGGAAGGACAAGACTAACCCTACGCTGTTCTGCAACATTTTAATTGCTGACATTGTTCTAGACTATGTATGTTGCCCACATTGCTACCAGTTTGAGCTTTCTAAGTCACATATGATTAAGACAAACTGATTCTTTATATATCATTTTCTTTACCTATCAATTTCTACCAAATTTCTTTACTGAGTGCTTTACATCTTTTGCATGCTGATACCTTTCAAACTAGTTTCTACCACCTGTCAACATATTCTGTTTCTCACTATTCCTTGAACATACTAAGCCCTCTTTTATACAAGTACAAAACTCACTGGTTCTATCATCTCTCCACCATACAAGCCTTTCCATTCCTATACCTACTCTCCTCCAAGGGTCCTGTCTTCTATCCCAGCTCAGCCACTTGGTCTTGAGTCTAGTTCTTGAGCTTGTTGTTAACAATAATTGCAACCTTTCCAAACGCTGAACATCCCATTCATCATCTCACCATACAGCTTCTTATCCTTCCTGGTATTCTAATACCAACAATCTTTCACATATCCCCAGAACCTATAATTGTTGATCCTACCACCATTTCATCAGCCTTACCCCAATTTTTTTCCTTTCTGAACCTATAGGCATGGGCAACCCATCAACACAACAGTAATCCTTTTGTGCATATCCTCACTTCCCTTCCCCTGATTCTCTTTCATGTCATCACACTCACCATATAAAGTGGATGCTATGGTGCCCTGGGTAAAGTCCTTCAGTTGCAAGAACCCCTGAGCCGGGAGTATTGACTGCTGACAATTCATAGATGAGCTTTCTCTAGGAACTGTCCTCTGCCAAAGGGAACCCACCTGGTTATTCCCTGTCCCTGGGGACTATAAAAACCAGGTCCTCATGGATTAATTTGGGACAAAACTGAAGTTATATACCAGCCCTATTACAATAGCATCCAATTTCTACCTCTCCTCTGCCCGATCCTGCTACCCTCACTCCTCCATTGGTATCTCTTCCCAGGAACATTCCCAAAAGTCTCACTCTTACATGCAAATCTCTACTTCAGAATCTGTTTGCAGGAAATATGACCAAGATACTTGGTACCACAAGTACTTGGAAGCAGATTCTAAAATAAATTCTAAAATAAATTTTACCAGTAGGCGGTGGTACATGTGAGTGGGTAGCTCCTGACATGTTGTGGCACAATTATCATTAACTTCCACCAGTGGTGAACTGGATAGGATACTAGTGTAATAGAATACACAGGCAAGGCTCATACCTGAAAGACACAGAGTACGAAGTTGAATAACTGTTGTTGGGGACTATTGATGCATTGAGGAGTAACAATGGAAAGCTGTGGATGATTAATCATCAGTGAAAAGTTAATTATAAAAGCCAGTAGGCCTCCTTAGCAACATTAAAGAGAATTTCTCTTCTGCAACTGGAGAATCAGAAAGCTGCAGACTAGGTCCAAAATTACTTATAGATGTAGTAGATTTTCAGTAGAGGTTGAATTCTGAGCCCCCAGGAGGAAGGACATCTGTATTGATGTGCTAGAAAGTTTAGGACCTCCAGATTCCCCAGAACCTTCTGGATCTGCAGCAGTGGTCCATACTGCTCTGTTTAAAAAGAGCATTAATACCATTTTTTTTAGGATAATCCAGAGGTTTTGACTTTGCAGAAATATATGTACCTCCTGTATCACCTATGGATGGTTGTAGAAACAATTAGTAAAATCTGGATTTTGTTACTCATAGGTGAGCCAAGTAGGAAGTTGCTTAATTCGTACGACAAAAAGAAATCAAGTGTGGTTGATCAGGAAGTTGAAGGTAGCCATTCTAACCAAAAGTCAAAATCTCTTGACCAGTTTTTAGAACAGATCCAGAAT